AAAAAAAAAAAAAAAAAAAAAAAAAAAAAAAAAAAAAAAAAAAAAAAAAAAAAAAAAAAAAAAAAAAAAAAACAAATAAAAAAAAACAAAAAGAAGATAAACTTTAAGTAATTAGACAAGCAGCTTACTTCTATTTAAAGTAATGCAACAGCACTTAGATACCATTAGGGTGACCAAGTGATGCTAAACTTAGATATTAGATGTATTTATGTAATTGCAAAGATAATTTCAAGAATCTTAATAAAGTACTAACATGACTGTTTAAGAAAAAAATGATAATAAATATCACATATACCTTTTTTAAATTATGTAATAGATTATTTTTCATGTATTTATTCGTTTGTAAGCTTCTTTAAGCGAAATTTTCTTTCGTTTTCTAGCAATGTAAAAACCAACAAACAGTTTTAAAATTATGTAATTTGATTGGTTAATTATTGTGGGCAATCACAAGATTGTCTACTATGGGTAACATTGCGCCACAATCGATACTAAATTTACCAATGTAACGATAATCTGTATAAATATGTGGTCTAATTTTAGTTTTTTTAAAACAATAAAAATGGCACAAGATAATCTTGATTGCCCTCCATTACCTGTTCGTTGGTAAGAAATCGACGATTAAAAAAAAATTCTATTTTGCTTTAATATTAACTAATTTTAACAAATGATAACCGTCTCTAACTAGGTTTTACGCTGTGGATGTACCATCATGGGATCCATTAAAACCACCAAAATCTTCAAATAATTCTAAAACGCCTCCTGAAGAAAAGTGTCCCATGTTATGGTCTCCCTTTTCTAAACGTGATTCAAATTCATTAGAAGCTGCTTATAAACTTGGTGTACCAGGAAAAAAAGTTTGTTGTAATGAAGATTATTTGTTTGAAGTTGATTTAGATAATCGAGAAATTAGTCCGGTATGTTTAAAACTTTGATGTGATTTGAAATGTACATGCCGTGGAAATTGTTAAATAATTAGTATAAATTAGAATTTCTACCTTTCCAATCAGTAGAAACTCTAATTGAATAACTATATTTGACAATTAAATTTAGCTTCTGTTTCTGCGGCATGTATAAGTGTGATCAATAAATATATGTTAAGTGTAAAACACACTAGGTTATATGTTATGAATTAAATTAATCTATTCATAATTAATATAGATTTATTGGGTCGATGCGATATATCAAGTAGTAAGAGCTACATGGTTTTATCAAGGCGATGGTAACAATTTTATTCCATGTGATGAAAATTTATCTATCCAGATTGAGGAGGGTTACATGTGTGTTTTAATCATAATTTTAATATAATCTTGATATAATTTTAATTTTTCTATGTATCATAAATTTATTATTCATTTTAATTTAATGTTTTAATATTTTTAAAGAAAACATAAAGCATGGAATCCTGCTTCTAATTCAGATGATACTACATCAACTGAAAAAAATTGGTATCTAACTGATAAATATAAAGGCCAATATATCGTATATACTAATCCTAGTGTTGCTTGGCTGTTAATGCATGTATATTTCATAATTTTGGTGTCACAAAGGGAAAACCATACCTTTGAACTTTTAAACTTAACGAATTCAATTCCTAAACAAAAAAAAAATCAATATGCTGAGCCTGATATTGTCATAAATTTGAAAGCTAAAAGTGTGATTTTTCCTTGGTGGCACATATTTATTTTCTTATATTTGAATTTTTTTTCACTAATTAAAGAATTTATTAATTTAGTGATGACTTGACCGGAAAATTTACAAAAACGATATTTTCAAAATTTACAAAAGGTGAACATTTAGGTGGTATACGTCTTATAAGAGGATATCTAGAAGTTGAAAAGTTAATATCAAATAAAAAAACCACTGAACCTGAAAATAAAAAGGAAAAATCAAAAGAATCGAATGATCAGGAAGCTGATCAACAGAAACAAGATGACAGTTATGTTGAATCTGAAGATGATGATGAAAGGGTTATCGATCATTTAATTTTTTGTATTCATGGGTGAGTAAAATTTATATAGATATCGAGATTTTGGAATCTATATTTTTATTATTCAAAACTTTTACCTAAATTTTTTTTCTAAACAATTTGTAGTATTGGACAAAAATTGAGTGAAAGAGATGGTTCAGCTAGTTTTATTAATGGTATGTTGACAGTAATCACATGCATACATTTCATGAAGGCATAAATAAACTTTTTTTTAAATCGTTCAAATCGTTCAATATATTATATTTAATTGAAACTATTTAGAGATAAATAAGTTTAGACGAACTTTGAAAAAAATATATGCATCAAACCCACCAGCAGAAGCAATTGCAAGACTAGAAAATCGAGAATTATATCCAGATTACGGTTTGCGTCATTCTAAGAAAGGAACTCAATTTGGTAATGGTATACAAGTTATACCGATTCATTGGAGGCAAGATATTAAGGTAATAAAGAATCCAGTATTTTTATTGCTAGAAATATATTTATAGATATATAAGAAATTAAGTGCTAAAATAATTTTTTATCTTATGAATTTATTGTAATAAAGTTTGGAATTGCATCAGAAAGTGAACAAATTCAACGAGATTTAAGTTTGGCTATTAGTGAAGACGGTCAACCTACCTTGGATGAAATCACTTTAGATTGTGTTCCGAATTTAAGAATGTTAATTTCTGATGCATTAGTAGATGGTAAATTAGTTATTTAAAATGTTTGAATATTTATAACTTTCAAATTTATTTATATATAATTCTTTTATTTATTTTAGTATTATTATACATGACACCAAAATTTAGAGAAATGATGCTAACTACTGTGACAAATGAGATGAATCGCGTTTACAATTTATTTATAGATCGTAATCCAAATTTTTTAAAAATTGGTGGCAAGATTTCTCTTTATGGGCATTCTCTTGGCTCGCTTTTAGCTTTCGATGTTTTGTGTCATCAACCACCATTTGTTGGACCTTTTGGTGGAATATATGAAGAAAATTTATCTCCTTCTGTGTCCCTAAATGATATTTCTAACCCTTTTTATCGTTCACAAGATTCAAATATCAATGGATCGCATTCCACAATGTCCCCTGTAGAATTATGCTCGAAACGTACATCTACTGTTTCGATTCTGCATCATAATGATGAATCACATCATGATATTGATGATCATCATAATCATGGTTACATAGACCGACAATTGTATAGAAGAAAGCAAAAGCAATTAAATGTGAATCTAGATTTTGAGGTTCAAACTTTATACGCTGTCGGTTCACCAATCGGATTATTTCTATTGTTGAAAGGATTAAAGATTGGAAGTAGAGAGTATTATAATGCTATTTGTAAGGTTAATCAATTAAAAACTTGGACAGACATAAGTTTGGGTAACGAAAATGATAATGTACGAAACAGTGAAGAACATATAAATGATGCTGAAAAGATGAAAAATGAAGGAAATGATGATATTAAAGAGGTTGATGACAAACATGAACAGACTAGGAAAATGTCATCTGGAAATATTCCATTTTGGGATAAAGAAATAGAACATATGATGCAAGATTCTGTAACTTTGATACCACTATGTTATCCAGCTTGTAGAAGTGTTTATAATATCTTTCATAAAGCTGGTAAAAGAAGTTTTCTATCTTTGATATGATTTTGTGATCATGAATTGATTATTAATTTTATTATGTTATTAGATCCAATTGCATTTCGAATAGGTAAAATTATACATTTTATTTTAATATATGTGTTGTGAGAACCGAATTTAAGTAAATTTTGGATTATGGTTGTAAGTTTATATAGAATAAATTCAAACCAACTTAAAAATTCTAATTAAAAAAATTCCGAATCTACTTAAATTTCATTCACGCTTACAACATAAAAGCTATCTTTAAAAAATTATATTTTGTTTTCGTGCAATTTATTTTAAATATAGAAAAAATCAAATTCTCATTTCTAACTATAAAATATACTTCGAAAAAACATATATTTTGTTATAAAACAGAACCCCTAGTAGCGCGTCACTATAGCAGAAATCTCAAGCCTGCTTTAATTCCATACCACAAGGGTGGACTCAAGGCTGTACAATTAGGATTTCAAGAATTCGGTATAAACGTTTCGAAAACAACAACCAACATACTTAGATCTTTAAGCTTATCGAAACCTAATCCAGATGAATCAATAATTAAACGTAAGAATAATAGACAAACCAGAGAGAAACATTTTATAGAGCGTGAATTGCTTAAACGAAAGCAATTGAAAAAGTTATATGCGGAGGTGGGATCTTCTATAAGTTTAATAAATGGTGGCGATACAATAAATTCAAGTCGTAGCAGTTTAGTAAGTGTTAGTAGTGACGGTCGAACTAGTATAGATACAGGAGTAACAAGAAATTCAGTTGATGCAAGTTTTATTAGTGATGAAATAACAGATCGTAGGGGTAGTTTGGATAGTAATTTTGGAGTTTATGGTAAGGAAAGTCCTAGAGGGTTGTCTGTTGAAGCAAGGGAAAAGTTTTATATGTCTCAGGTCGAACTGCCATCGACAACGGAAAAGAAAGAATCGTTCTATCAAGTGAAAACGTCAAGTTCGCCTACTTTGACCGAGGATGGGCAATTAGATTATCAAATTAGTGGAGAAGAAAAATTGAAGAGCTTAAATAAAAGTGGAAGAATTGATTATTGTTTACAGGTTATTGTCTTTAATCGTGTTAAAAAAAAAATACATGTTTTAGATTTTTATGAAATTCTAACCTGATTAATAACTATCGTTTATCAAACAGCAAGGGGTATTGGACGTTAGTTACATATCCGCTATAACCGATCATCTTAATTATTGGGCCGATTGTGATGCAGCCTATTTTATCCTAAGTGAAACTTATAAATCTTATGATGAGGAAGACTGATGTGCAACTTTATTTTATTCAATTTAGCTAAACGTAGCTAAATGTTACTTTCGTTTGCATCTTTATAAAGTGCTTATCGTTATTTATTAATCATTTTGATTGTTTTATAGTATTTATTAGACACACATTGGTTGTAAATTTAATATTTAACTATTATTTGGAAATCTTGCAATATATTATGACTAAATTTTTTGTAAAAAAATAAATATTTTGTATTAAATGAATATTATATTTTCTGGATAAATTACCACAAATAAATCGCCTGAATGTATCATAAAAATAAGAATCCGAATCCGAACTGTATAAACATTTACTTCGACTCTAATGATGGTTAGGTCATAAGATATTTTATTATTCACTTTGTAACTAAATTATTTTTATGAATGCTGTTAAGATAAATCTGTAGACACAAAATTAACATTTCACCGTACCGCATCTGACTTTTTGAGATAATGATATTACATAATTTCAGCTATTGGATCTCTTGCAGTATAAGTGATACCACTAATAAAACGTATTATTAGTCAATTGATTTAGAATAGGCGTCACCCATACTGTAAAAGATTCATTTAAATATGTACTTAGCAGGTTTTCTCTTGACATCACGCGCGAATTAGACATTAAAATTTTAATAATCAAAATTTTCAGCTATTTCAATGTAAAAATATATGATTAATAGTTTTTAATAAGATCTTTCAAATCATAATAATACTGGTAAAAATATTGAACATACAATTCCTATATAGATAATTCTATTAACTTATTTATGTATAAACGAGTAAGAGTCGGGAGAGTGACATATGATTTCGAGAATTTGTTAATAGTTGAATAGAGTGCTAGGCATTGTAAATAATGATGAACGATTGAAGAAACAATTATAGTTTGAAACTGGTGGTAAATTTATGTTTCTAAGATCAATAGAGTAAATTAGAATAAATTAGAATAAATTAGAATAAATGATTTATTTGTTTTCATATAGAGTAACGAAAATTACATTTTGAATATGAAAGGCTTATATCAAAATATATTATATTTTTTCATCCCTTATAACCCTGATATTAACTATTACATATTTCATCTATTCTGGTTAATTACTGTTTTTGCATATAGATAATGAATAGATTTGTTCCTCGTTGAAATTATTCTTTTTGTATGCTTTTAATTATAACAGTATAAGATACTGTTATTTTATAAAAAAAAAATATATAATATAAAATTACGGTTATATTAAAGATGCATCAAAGAATTTAAAAGAAATTGGGAACTGAAATATAATTGTCATTTCAATTTTTTTTTTTTGCTTTATTTCTAATATTAGATAAATTTTTAATTTTGGAAAATAAAAATATTAACAAAAAGGAATATTATTAAAAGTTATATTTATAACACCATGTTATATAACATCTTATTGTTAAACTATATATTTACCCTAACCTAAAACTCCAACTATAACTCAGACCAATACAAATATTAATATGGGAGTTATATAACACCGGTGTTATGAATATAATTTTTCAAATATCAAAGATTGCGAAGATTTTGTTAGAAAGAGAACCAATTTTCTTAATTATAATCTAAGCTCAATATAGTTACTAATGATATAATCATAAATTATAATATTATCAGTTTTGTTTTATTATTATATAAATGAAAAAATTACTTATTGTATAAATATTATTACTTTAGTTATATTAAATTTTGGTTACCAACATCAACGCAGTGATTATATCAAGGTTATACTGCATTTGTGTTTATTAATTTTTTTTAAAAAAAATATTCAACCATTCTATCTACTTCATTTTGAAACCAAATAATCATTAAACATTATTAAAAGCAATAACAAAATGAAATAAAAAAAAATGCAAAAAATGCGAAGAAAATATGAAAAGAAACGAATAGAAAACGAAATAAAAATCGATAAAAGGAAAAATAAAAAAAAAATAAAATAAAAATCGATAAAAAGAAAAATGAAAAAAATAAAAGAAAATAACAATAAGTAAAATAAAATAAAAAGAGAACAATAAAAAACAAGGATGAAATTCTGGCTTAATATATCATAACTAAAATGTATTAGAAGAAAAAAACGATTTCTAATTAACCACACTTCAGGTTTACGGGTTTACGTGAATTTAATTCAGGTTCTTTGAACCAAACACTAATTTTATTAGACCTAATTTAAGTTCATTGACCTAATCTAAGTTTATTGACAATTTGATGCGTCTGAACTCTTTTAAGGATCATTTAAGCCTACAAAAGAAATTTAAAAATAGAGTCTTTGGTTCTCCTAAGAGCTGGTTAGCTCTTTATATAATATGTATTGATGATCTTCACGTTACGATAAGGCTCAATGGTCTAGTAGTATGATTCTCCGTTCGGGTCGGAGAGGTCCCGGGTTCAATTCCCGGTTGAGCCCAATTCTTTTTGAATTACTCATTGTTAATTAATATATAACTTTCGAAATTTAGCATTGCTTTCTTTTTTTTATTTAAAAAACTTAAAATTTGATTATCTATTTTGATTTTTTTGTATAACGAAGTACTTGTAACCTTAATGATGTATGTTTAAAGTATCTGTATTTTTTCTTTATTCTTTCTAACAAGATTTCGCATGATCAACCATTAGGCTATAAAAATTCCGTGTGAGGATATATCTACATGATTTTCAAATCTTATAAGTATGATCCGCACGTACAGAATTTTAGTCGACAGACCTACTTGTAATGACATTTCTTAAAAAATGTATTAATGAAAAACCGAATTTAATTTTTCTAACATTTTTGTTTCAAAGATGTTAAATTGATTAAATTTTGATTAAGGAAGGGAATATAGAAAATTATATCGTGTTACTTTCAAAAGTAATAGTGTTGTAATAAAATCATTTAAAATTAATATGCCCATTAAATTGTTGTTAAGGAGGCTTAAAGAGGCTTATGACTATACAATCATGCGTTAATGATTTATTGTAAATTACATGCAAGAGTGGATATAAATTCTAATATTATACGTCTACTTGGTGCTACCAAAAATAAAGGCAATGCCACTAATTTAATTTCTAAATTGAATTTTTTTTTTTTATCTGTAAAAAAAAAGAAAAAAAAAGATAAGTATGATTTGAATTGATAAAACATGTACGACATGATAAATAAGCAAATACGAGCTTTATACATTACATATGAATATACCCCGTTAAAGGACTTAAGAATGTATTTACATGGTAATTTTAAACATCTTTCTTAGGATGGAAGCAAAATTTGCCGAGACAGTTGTTTGCATGTTGAAATTTCTATACAGAAATCTAGATAGCTTAATGTGCGTAGTAGCTACATAATTATGTAATTACTGCGCAGTTACTGCACATTAAAGTATCAAGGTTCCGTAATGTTTGTTTATCGTAATTCGGTAGTTTTAATAAACAACAATGCTGGTGTTTAATTTTAATACAGTACATAGCATTCAAACAATATACTTGTCCATTAAAAGTGTATTAAAAACTTACAGATGTTGTAAGTCGAAAAACTTTTGAGATTATTCAGTGTTTTTAAAAAAAATAGAAAAATTAGATTTGACAAAAAGGTCTGATATATAACATTGGTGTTCTTATGTGAAAAAAATCTAGTATTTATAAATATCATTAATCCTTAATATTAAAGAAAAATTTCAATAAGGTCGTATTGAAGAATCACCGCTCGTATATGACAAAGTCAATACAAGTATAAAATTATTTTTTATCTTTGAAAAAAAAAGGTTCAGGAGTAATTTTAAAATCTTTCAGTGTAGGTGACACCATGAAATAACATGTATTATTGGCTGCTTCGCATCCAATAACTATATATTATTATAAATTGATTTAGCATAAGTGTTACTCATGATCCCAAGAGCGTCCAGACATTCAGTGGGAATGAACAATCTATAAATAGAATTTCATACATTAAAAGATTATGAATCAACACAAGTTAATCAAAATAGTTTCGAATTTAACAAAATTAAAGATGTTGCACAATCATTTCGATTAGTCAAAATTAAATGAAGTTATCCATATAACAGTTTTGTCAAAAATTCGTTGTGCGAAATGCGAATTTTAAATTTCGGGTTCAGGTTTTTTGACTTAAATCATTATCATGATTATTTTTTAGCTAATTAAAACCATATAGGGTGGTGCTTGAGAATAACACTAATAAGTCGCGGAGTAACATCCTGTAAAATAAGTAGATATGCAGGGTTACTTGCAGATTTAAACAAAGTTTTAGAAATTAAATAAAACGATGCAGACGCATTAAATAGTCATCATGCAATTTATTGCACTACGTATAAAGAAATTGTTTGCATATTTAAATATATCGTTAGAAATTAAATGCACTTGAATTAAGAGGTTGAGTAAATTATTGCATAATGGTAAAATATATATTCCAAATGATGCATTAAATGATCGTGGTGCTACTTATCGTGTGATTAGAAATTGAACAAGGCATTGAGTATATGTGGTGTAACTTATCTTACTGCATTATGAGACAACATAACTGATACATAGAGGATTACTAGAAAAATAACGCAGGAATATTAAGTATGCGTGATGCAACTTATCTCAAGATGGAAATATATATTTAAATGATGCATGGATGGACATTAAAACCTTTAAATAACTAACTGTTCACAGAATCTTTAAATAACTAACTATTCACTAACTGTTCACAGAATAACAGAATTAATGACTTTTGGTAAACAAAAACATTGACTCTAACTATCATTGTTGAATTTATTTTGAACATTTCCGCTCGTAAAATTCTTAAAATGTCATAAATTAAGGGAAGTGCTGTTTTATATGTAATTTTTTACACGTCTATATGTTCGTTTGGATTAACCATATACATTGCGTATATACAGCATCAAGTTGTCATGCAATTTTTTTATATCTCTATAGAGCACTAACCCTTACCTAACCTAGATTTTAAGTGTTCTGCCATGATCTAGGTTTATCACATGACCCGCAAAACCGATTCTACTTTCTGTTAAATTAATAGAGATGACATTTGAGCGTCATCAAGTGAAAACTAAATATTTATTCTATAGTAATCTATATTTTAGAATTCTTGGTTTTCACTCTGCGACATTTATTTAGTTGCAAAAATTTTGATAATTTATAATGTTTCACGTGAGTCGATACAGATTTCATGTAACAATCCATGCGTTTTTTGATCAATATCTGGTGTTATTTTTTTAGTTAACACAAAAAGTACTTCTCTCCTGAACTATTATTGACCCCCATACTGATCAAAACGATAATGATTGAGCACGGTTACACGGCTATCAAAACAAGTTAGTATACAAAATTAAGCTTTTTTAAATCTGCTAATGCTAATAATTCTTTAGGGACAATGGTTTTTAGTGTTACCAAGATCTCCAAGTGCCCTTATTTCATTATGCGACCATTGTGATTCATTTAGGGTTAGAAACTCCAATTTAATCATGATAACAAGGAATTCTTTAACAATAAAACCAACACGACAAATTATTAATATATGTTTTTCAAAGACATTCTCACGCGAACCTTGGGTGAGACAAAAGTTTAATGATAACATTTTAATCCCTTATGTTCATTTTATTAATTCCAATTCCATTTTTTACAAAAATATTCAACTTAAAATGTTCCCTATCTCAGCAGATTTTTGATAATAAAATGAATGTCTCAATATAGTTGTTAAAGAAGCCTGGAGTTTCGCAATGACGAAACGTGAAACATAATTTCACCTTTTGTCAATTAAAACCTCAAATGATTAAACTGACGAAACTTACTAGATGCAACGAAATAAAAGGTAACGATGATAATATGTGATTATTTTCCCGAGGGTAAAAAAGTAGGCAGATTCTATGGAGACGTATAATATTTTAAAAATCAGAAAAAAAATCAAATAAAAAAAAATATCTAATTTTTAAGCACAATAGACTAGCGTTGTTAAACGGCTTGTTCATTGGTAATTGTCGCATCCTTTTATTATATTGTTTATTGTCCAATGTGATAAATAGCATAATAAAAATATGTGACTATTACCAATGAGCATGTTCATTTAACAACACTGCAATAGACTGTGTCCAAGAACAGAATTCTGTGCAGATTCTGCTATTACAGATTTCTGGACACTAGTCAAAAAGTTAATAAATAGGTCTTTTCTACCTTTCTACTAATTTAGGGATAGCCTGGTTTATTATTTATTTCTTTATGGTGACAAAGATGTGACGACAAGCTTTTATTTGTAACCTATTTTTTTTTGTTCTATTTATATATTAATTTTCTTCTTGCACATTGAAAATTGGCTCTGAATTATAATTCAATTTTATTTGGTTGAAACGAAACGATAAATTTGGATAAAAGCGAGCATGGAGTTTGAAAATGTAGAAAAGGAATAAATTTAAATAAATCCAGGTTTATAGCAGTTATTCATGTAGTATTAGATAGGTTTTTTATATATAGTATGAAACTCATTATGTTGCAAGTAGGACTTGACCGGGAATCTTCTGTAGAAAGATTCCCGGTCACAAATAATCACATGAATAATTATAACGAAGGTCATAAATTTATTTCCTGTGAGGAGTTTAAAATTACAACAGAGATCAGAGATTCCCGGTGATCATATGATGCAAATGGCCCGACCCAAAGTGGAGGAGAGGGGATTAAAGATATGTTGGAGTGAAACTGAAGTAAACTGGTGCAACTTTAAGCTCAACCCAACTCCCCCAGCGCAACCAACAAAAAACCTCGGGCACGTGAGTGGCTGTGGCTTGTTTTGTGTAACTGGTACGTATAACATTTATTTTTGATGTTAACCAATACCGATATATACGAAAATTTTATAAAAAAATAAATACGTAAAAAATAAGCCGAAATATCAACCCGAATAAAAATCATATTAATAGTATTTATCTTTGTTACAGCTCAGTACAATAAATAACAAATAAAAAAAGTATTCACGGAGATTAATCTTTGCTAATATAACACATATATAATATTGATTAATATAAAAAAAATTATGATTGCAAATAACGGGTATTATTAGTATGGTCCTTCCAAGTCAATGGCATGGTTCGTTTTCTTCGATATTGTTCGACTTCATCAACTAACTTAACTAGTGGGTCAAACGATTTCTTTACTGCTTTAATTCATTTTGTGTTGCCGGCTAATTTTTGCTCTTCTAAAAGCACAAGTGCTTTTTTGGTTTTTTCAATTAAATTATCAAATGTTACATTATAATTTTCAAGTGATTCTTCGTAATCTTCAGTTAATTCAATCATTTCACCAGCAAATTTATTATTCACAACTTGCCCGGCAGATTTGCTTTCTGTTGAATTCATTTGGATTAAAAAAGGAGGTTGATGGCTTCTTTTTATATTGAGAAAAAATTCTGCTATTACATTTGCCTTTTCATACACCAAATGTTTACATAAATTAAACCGATTTGTTAAATAATAGTTGCATCTGCAAACCCATTGTTCTATATCTGTTACATATGTATTATTGTTATTGATTGGTCGTTTGGATAAACTTTTCCATTCATGTTTGAAGTCCTTGATCCAATCCGGTTTTTCTCGGCCTATGCAAATCTGGTTTAGCTTGCGCTTTTGATGTACAATAACCTTGTTTATTAATATATATGTGACAAGATCCATTCGTGGATGAAAAAATTTATACAAGAAGTCTCGTTTGATCGTTTTCCAGTGGCCCTCAATGAATATCGTAGTATTCAATACGGAAATTATATTTTCACAAGACGCACGTGTCCACAATACCCACTTTGATTCTATGTACCATTCTGTCCACATGTATAGCCAAAGTGAAATTAATAACCTATCCTTACAGAATAGATACATCTCTTGAATAGACTGACAATAAATTTCATCTTTAGATAAAAAGTTTTCATTATTTGTTGGAATCAAAGAATATTAGTGCATGTGTTTTTCCATAATTTGCAATACTGATGTCTGATATTCCTTGGGGCAAAATTGTGCTGTTGGTTGAATTCCATCAAACAGAAATCTCTTGCCAAATTCGGAAAGCAGATTAAATGTAGATCTTGTTGTAGTTTTATTACTTAATAATCTTGTAGTTACAGCACGTTTTACATGCCATTTACATAATTAGATTTTTGTAGAAGGCCATGTAAAACGTACTGCATTAATTTGCGCATAGTCCTTATTTGTTAAAAAAAATGTTGGGTACAATCCTTTATTACGAAAATTAACAAGAAATTTTTGTAATTTTGCTGTTCGTACACCATCCTTACACTGCCCATTATTTTCAAGAAACATATATGATAGAGGAAACCCAGTGCTGTTTACTTCAGCTTGTAGAACATATAATTCAAACCCCATATTATTAGTACCATATGTAGCGTCTATCCCATATTCATTAATTACGATCTGGTATTCATTTAATTGTTCAAGAAGTCCTGTTTCAAATGCTAGTGCACGAACAGGTTCTGATTCTTGTAAGATAATTTTGTAATGATTTTCTAATAACCAAAGTCGTGCAGATTCAAATGCATTATCATCACATTTATACCGGTGTTGACCAAGTTGTGTTCACCAATAGTGGATCTGTTTTTGCTTAATTGATATATTTATTAAATTTTCACTAATAAGCCATGCATAGATTTCTCTTGGCAGAAGGTCTATATTCGTTTGAATAAAGTCTTTTACATTTTGTGGTACTACTGTATTAATTGACCTCACATGCAAATTTTTGTGATAAAGGCTAATTTCGGCTATTTGTGTAGTCTTATTAATTGCAATCTTTAAAATACCACCACAGTCAAATCTTTCTTTAGATGGGGTGTTCCGTTGTTTTGATATATCTGGATGTTTGCGTGATCAAGATGCCAAGTTATTTCTTTGAGAACAGTAATACCAATATGTAGTTGTATTTTTACTTATATATGAACGTTGATAATTCCAACTATATTTATCAGCATCTTCGATCAAATCAACGATACTATTGGCGATGTTTGAAAGATCTTCAGCTAGATTCTTATTGGCAATATTTACTTTGCAATTAAGATGCAATTCTTGCGATGTAGACTCTAAAAGAGTTGTAACTGCTTCACTTAAAAACTCAATATCTATAACTTCATACTCGTTATGGAGTTGAACATCGTCATCAGACTCTAAAGGTCTTTTTGGTTTTTTATTGAGCCTTGGATGGCATTTATCACATGTTTTAAACTGTTTAGGTGCACCTCTGGCATCATAACCCATAAATTCATGACACGATTTAAAAGTTTTACAACCGTTGCAATAAGGATCCATATTTTATAGCGAAGAAAAATATAGCGAAGAAAAATATAGCGAAGAAATATCAATAAGAATGGAGATGAAAATTATCATTGTTCGTTTTCTTTATTATTGATATCAATATGATTTATTTTCCTTTTTACTGTATTATTGATATTGATATGATTAATTAATTGATTATACAGTAACTCTTATTACGTAGTACAAAGTCAATTTCACAGCCACAGCCACTCACGTGCCCGAGGTTTTTTGTTGGTTGCGCTGGGGAAGATAGCTCAACCCAAACCTCTCCAGCCCAACCTATTAACAACCATATAATCACCGGGAATCTCTGTTGTAATTTTTAAGCTCCCAGTAAATAAATAATACGTACTAATACTAATTGCTTAAACCCATAATAAACCAAACTATTTCTCCATAAAGACCATGTACCCGGAAAAAGATTTGCTAAATTTGGATTGCGCGCAACATACATATGTACGTAAGTACGTAATCGCTGCTTAAAAATTCGATCTAAGCATACACAGACTTGCATTATATATATGTATATGTATATATTTTTTTTCCTTTTTTTTGTCATTTATTCAAGAGTTTAATAATTGTGATCAAAATTTCTGATATTTAAATTGTTGGAAAATTATCATTTATTTATCGCTAATGCGAATGTATCATCATCTCTAATTAAAAGGCAATCAAGTAAGAAAACTCCTAACCCAAAATTTCACGTCGTGTTACACCTGATCTTGCTCCCTGATTGGTCGATCTAGAAATATCGATGCATGTTCGCAATCTGTTTTTTTTTTTTTGAATATTGGGAATAACGATACGGTTAATACTTTGAAATTATTTTTTGCCTTGGAAAATTATTAGACTTTTATAGACAATTAAACGTCTAAAACAATAAAACAATAAAAAAAAGTGATAAAACTATATCAATAAACAGTGAAAAAATCTATGAAAGGTAAAAACTTGGTTTACTAATTCTAATTGTGTCTTTTTGTTTCGAACTTTTTTAAAACTCGTCTGGTTTTAACTCTCATGAAGGTTTCGCCAAGCTTCGTCCTTCTTTATTTCCGATTTTAAATTTCGTCTTTCATCCGAGAGATTTGGCGTTTCGTCAGGGTTTCATCTTTCGTCAATACGCAAAGAAGGCTTCGCCTAACACTTATAGTCCTCAAACAAAAAAAGTTCTTAAAAGCTTAGGTATTTTAAGTGCAGGATCTGCTACAATATTTACTATTTACTTGGGTAAATAATTTTATTTTTAATGTTTAAAAACAAATAGCATTTATAATTGACATTAATTAAAAAATTTTTAGGAAGACCATTTAATAGTGATCGAGAAGATCAGGTTTAATCTTGTAATAATTTTTTGTTATCAAAAATATTTCATGTAATTTATTAATAATAGTCATATTAATATTTAGTATAAAGATTTAAATGCCTTTAAAGCATGGTATATGCGGCTACAAGCACGCATAAATGATATAGCGCATGTAAGCTTATATCAAATTTTGAATTTAACAATAAAAATATATATTTATATATCTTTATATATATATATTTATATTTCTATAGTAGACTTATAACTAGTTTTAACTTTTCATTTATGCAACCCTAGTTTTTTACAGAACCCTTAACAGATAAATTGTTACCAGATAAAGACACAATACCAAATCTTCCTCCATTAACATTAGTAATCAATTTAGATCAAACACTTATTTATTCTTCTTGGGATGTAAGTTTTAAAAAAAAAAAAAAAATATGTTAAAAATATTTTAAAATAATATATATTTAATCATTTTATTATTTTTAGAGAAAACATGGATGGAGAACGGCAAAACGACCGGGTGTTGATTATTTTTTATATGCTGCTTCAAATCTTTTTGAAGTTGTCATATTCACTTCCCAACCTTCTTATGTAAGATGATTCATTTTTTCTTGTATGTTATTATCTATATTAATAAAGATTTGAATATATATACATACATATATATATATATACATATATACATATGTATATATATAATGTTTATAATACCAATATTTGAATGTATTATAGGTTGCAGAACAAATACTTGCGAAACTTGATCCACTTGGCATGGTTCCATTTAGACTTTTTAGAGAGTCTACACGATATGTAGACGGAAAGGTTATAAAGGTTTGTTTTTTTTTAAAAAAAATAAAAAAAAAAAAGTTAAATTATCTTATCAATTGTTTAACGAATATTATATATTGAAGAAATTTAATATTATTAATAAAGGACATTTCCAAATTAAATCGAGATATATCTAAAATAATAGTTATGGATTCTAACCCTGATGCTTATTCTTTGCAACCTGAAAATGTGATTTCTGTTCCACCATGGACAGGGGATCCTAATGATAGTTTTTTAGTTGATACTATTCCATTTCTCGAAGGTAAGCTTGGCATCATATTTTAAATTTTAAATTTTATTCATATCTAAATGATATTTTTTTTGAGGGGATTATAGGAATTGCTTTATTGTTATCTGAAGTTCAAGATATTCGTCCAGTGATAAAAGAATTTCGAGGAAAAAATGTTCCAGAATTTTATCTGGAATGGGAAGAGCAATGGAAAAAGAAACATCAACAGGAATGGGAAAAGGCTAAACCAAGAAAAGAAGGTTTAGCGAGATTTCTATCATTAATTGGTGGTAATCAAGTGGTATTTATATCTATACATATTGTGTTTATTTCTCTATTGTTAATGTGATGGATATTTTCTGATAATAATTTTGTTAATAGCAAGAACAAATTATGCCACAATATCAACAAGCCTTACTTCATCGTCAGATGGTTCATAATGAGTTAATAGAACATTATAAATCTGTGAAAGATAGAGGACCTGAATTACAACGTGCGATAGATGATTATGAGAAAAAGTTTCAGGAAAGCATGAAAAATCAAAAAATTACCCATTGGCAGTTATTAACTCAGGTAAAAAAAAAATGAATTTTAGCTACTAGGAGTATTTATTATGAGTTTAGAGTATTTTAATGAACTTGATTATTTGACTAATTTTAAATAATTTAAACTTTTTAAATTCAGGGACCACCACAAATTCCATTTCCACAACCTGATCAACCTCCTCAATCACAATAATTATCATTTTCGGGGTGAAATGACATGATATAGATTAAACTGTTCTATAAAGTTTAATAAACCAAAAAAATTAATCATAAATTATCTCGTTTTCTTTTATTCCTTATTAGTTTTCATTCTGGTTTTTTTTTCTTTATTTATATGGTGTTTTTTTTTTTTGATATTCGGAGGGGTACGTAAAACCATTGGTTCAATGGATCATCAAACTTAGATTAACCCTTAAGTTTCAAAATAAATGGTAAGCTTTACGTTAGGAATTGTATTGGAAAAAATATGCGACGAATTTATGTTCAAGCCACATACAAAGTATAGTTTTATTAGTATCACCTAAATTTTATGAAACATGCTTTAAAAAAATATATTGCTAATTTAAAATGGAAAGCTAGTTTTTTACATCGTACTTTTTTTTTAAAAAAAAAAAGGATATAGAAATAAGTTCTACATTAAGTATTCGCATATTTCTGCTTGCTAATTAAAAGACGTATTTTCCTAATTTATATTTGTGGTTATGGCTGAATTTCCGATTATTGGGGATTTTTCTTTTTTTGAATATATATTTTCTTTAGTCTAATTTATTATTTTATGACAATTGGTGGTATCATTAAAGTTTTAATATACTTGATTTTTATATTATAAAATACAAAAAAGTAAAAAAAAAAAAAATAGCAAGCTTTCTATTATCGATATGTATCATATTTTAATAATAGAGTTTATAGACCTTTGTAAATTTATTAAAATTATTTCGTCTGGCACAAAGTATTGTAGTAAGAATTTAATCATAACTAAATTTAATTTGGACATATACATATTTGACACTTTGTGTGAGTAAATAGCGATTTACACTTTCGATCATCGTTTATCTTTGTGAAACAATGTTATTCTTTGTTATGCACTAGATGAACAGGATCTGTTTGTGTCCTGGTCAAATATATTATTAAAACTAACACATTTGAGATCACTTATGCGGTGTTTTGCAGGCTGGAACCTTATGTATCGGATCGGATTCTTATGTTTAAATAATAATTACTCATTTTAATCGAATATTTTTAATACGTATGTAAATAGTTAAGATATTAAGTTGAATAAGACTCATGATGCATGGTCTCCCATATAATAATAAGGTTGTCGTCTTATATATAAAATAACGCGTATATACTTAAAGTAACGTGCCGATGAATGTTATTGAAGTATTTCGCGTAATAACATCCATCTGCGCATAATTTTGAGCACATACGCGTTATTTCGTGTCATGATATTTTTATATCAATTTGACAATTTTTAATAAAAAAAGATACGTATTTTATATATGAAAGTTACCAAGAGAAAACCTACTTTCGGTTTTTAAACTTTTTATAATTTTAATGAAAAACAGTCCAAGTTTGATTATGATTTGTTTATTACGATAATGCTTAATAAGAACAAGATCCTTATTATAATTCGACAAATTTCATAAGATCAATTTTTACAAAAGTACAATCCAATACGTAAAATTGAAAGTAGTTTTTTCCTTGACTGTACCTATATAGTACAGTAACAACATACATCAAATAACCTTAAATGCAACTCATAGGACCGGACTCTTGATAGCTCACATTTAGAATACTATAAGAAAAAAATGCATTTAAGGGAGTCTAACATATATTTGGGTCCGAGTTAAAGGTTACATTTAGAGGGTCGCATTTAGAGAGGTCTATTTGCAAGTAAATACTATTTTAATATATCAGTAAAATCGAAAGTATAAATAAAACTAGTTGAATCATTTGAGTTTGAAAATTCAAGATAATAAGTGGACTTAAAAGAAGTAAAATATTTGAATATCTGTATATATGTATTTTGTTTTTTTTATGTTAAACTTCATAGCATGTATAGCATATGCAAATGTTACAATACGTATATCCAGTAAATGTATTATATTTAGTACGGGTCACCCTCGTTAATATCAACCCATTTGCATTGGTTTTAAATTATGTTGATAGATATTAATGAGACATCATATTAAAGTTGATATGTATGAGGGAATTTTGATATATAAAAATTTATAAAAATTTGTTGATATTAACGAGGGTCACCTGTATAATAATTATGATTTTTATTTCACTCTCGTATACTATTTTAATGAGAATACAAACTTCATAGTTAATCGATAAAAACCTTAGAAATTAGTCTTACGCAGAAGTTATTGTTTGTTATTAATTTCGATATTAACATCGTGAAGGTAATTAATCGATCTTGATTTTATTAAATATCAATAAAGTATTAATTTGAACATTAAAGTGGAAAAATGAAATAATTTCAGTATAATTTGTCGGTCTTTATAACTTCAAAGTTCGAACATGTGACAAACTGCCACATATAATTCATTGAATGCAATACATTGAAATACGAAAAAGTAAACTTTTAGAAATCATCCACCTAGATTATAAGAATTTGTCTAAAATATCGTTATACATATTTAGATAACCAAAAGTTTAATAGAAATGTCTAATAATATATAACAAATGAATCTATAGTAAGTATATATAATAGTATATACCAAACATAATAATGATGTGTAAAGGAATTCTATACTTAATGCATAATATATTATATGTAAATTAATAAAGGTAAAAAAAAAAAAAAAAGATTACAAGACTAAAGAGAGAACAATTAAATAGTTTACAACTTAAGAATCAGTTATATGATAAGGTTCTTGTGCTGATTCTTCGTTTATAACAGCGTTATTTGGGATGATAAGAACGTTCGCTAATTGAATCAAATATTATAATTATTATTTTTTTTTTTACAGATAATATAATAATTGATAATCCGCTTCCGAATGAGGCAACCATATGATTTACTATATATAAAATTGCAAAGCCACAAATGCCACTTTACGACAAAGTAAAGTCATTTTTCTACTAAGTAAATATATCTTCAATTTTTATTTTCCGACTAATGAAAACAAACTATTGTTTACGTGAAATGGCATTTTTGGCTATAGTAAAACTTATACGTAGTAAAATGCGTCACAATTTACTATATAGGTTTATATATGATTTTCTCATTCGAAAACGGATTATCAATTAATCAATATTGACAAATTGACAGATTGAAAAACCTTACCACTCTCAGCGTCTGGTGCCTCGATCCAGTCATTAGGAACAACGCCTTAAATTATATAAGAATGATTATAATGCCGATGGATTTAAACCATATTAATATTAGTTGTGCGCCAATTTACATTTATTCTCACTTTTTTGAGACTCAATTTTGAGAATATGCGAATATGCTTGATTGAAAAAAAAGGAATCCATTGGTATAACAATATTACAGACATTATTACAGATGTTGTTTGATCATATTCATTAAGTAAAGGTTCCATCGGAAAGTTATGAGTGAGAATGAATGTAAATTGAGGTGTAAATATACAAAACCTACATGGAAAGAGGGTTCCTAATTTTGCGGCACGATTTATCCAATCTATGGAAAAATAGGAAAAATAACAATAAAAGTAATAAAAGATTAAATAACGTATCCCATTACAACATAGGAATGATATTTATATATTCTTACTTGGTGCTGGTTTTCCAACCAGTATATTACATAATTCACTAGTAAAATGATTACAATTCCTAATAAAAATATTGATTAATAAATTTATTACATCAAATATTAGTTATTGCGTAATATTATTACCTTGTCAATAAATTATAACTATTCCCACTCCACTCTTTTGATAATCCATCGATAACGTTCTTTACCTCTTCTCTACTCAAAGACGTATGCCCCATAAGAACTGAATCTCTGATATAATAATTCAATGATTTAATAGTTATAATGTAATAATTCATAGTTTAATAGTTTAATAATCTAATAATAATTTAATAATCTAATATCTAATATCGAATGATTCAAAATTCAATAATTACTTGAATGTCACATTAGGCGGTCCAATCCTGGGTTTCATAACAAACACACCAGTAGTTTCAAAATCATGTCCACCAAAATTATATTCTAATTTGAAAGGTTTATAAATTCATGCTTGACCATGTAGTCATATTAGAAAAACATGATTTCCAATAATTTTTTTTTTTTTTTTTACCTTTGTCATATATTTCAACCCCAGAATGAAACACTCCTAGAGGTGTCAAAAAAACAAAAACATTATTAAATTTTGTTATATTCAATATAGAATCAATAAAATAATACGAACCGATCCCGAACATGTAACCAATATCTGCAATTTTTCCTTTTGGTAACTTTTTGTCAAATATAATTTCAGTAATCATTGACGATCAAACTCGACTACAAAAGGCATATTTACCATGTCATATACATTTACGTATACCTTTTGTACGTAAGTCAAAGTAGTAAAAAAAGGTAATGAGTTATCTTTTTTTTTTTAATATATCATAAAAAACTCTTGAATGAATATAATGAATACCGGAGTTTTTTTATCTTTTCTATCCCTGCACAATGGAACCTCATATTGGTTTGAAGACGAGTTATCTGGTTCAACTTGAGTATTCATTCTATTATTATTATTATAAATACTATGACTATAACGAACCATTTTTTTTTCTAATTTAATAATTTGTTAATAACTTTGAAAAATGGTAAGCATTTAAGAAAATTTTCTGCATAGAAGAATTACGAAAATCCTTAATTTAATGATCGAATGGTCACCGGAAAAAGTTAGTGAGAATTTATTTTGTTTCACAACATATTGTATTTGTGTGCACATCCCCCAATTATTGGTGGTGTCTATTTTAAACACAACGATTAAAAAAAAAAATGCACTTTAAATTTTTTTGGTTTAAAAATGGTAATTAAAAAAAAAAAAACTATAATGGGTTTACATATTTTATTTCTTTACCATAATAATAAATGTTCAAGGCTGATTCTGAGATCGGTTGATGTCCTTATTTTGATATCAATAAATATTTTCTGGGTGCATTTTTTGTTTTCTTTTTAGGGTTAGTTCCGAATTTATGGTTAGAATCGTTTAATAAAGTGTATATATGAATTTCAGTAACAACATCAGCTGCGACAATATTGAAATTCGCGTCACACCCTTTATAGAAAGCCGAATTTGCTTTTCATTGCTTTTTAACTTTCTTTATGTTGTAGAGAATTTAAAGCAGGGAGAATCTTGACTTAGTTTAACTGATTATAAAATCACATTGCATCCTTGTTGATTGTAATTAAAATCTCTTCACAAAATGTATATATGCATTTACTGCGACTACGGCCATATAATATATAGATTATGAAATATTCTTAACCAAAATATAACAAAAAAAAATAGAATTATAGTTACGTAGTACGTATGAAGTATTGTTGCAGATTTAAAACCGACAATCTCGTGACCTAAAACGTGTAAAATTGTATTCACTAAAATCAGGGTGCAGAACTAAATGTGTGACATGAAAATCTGAAATTTTAAAAAAAGATAAACTTATCTTTTTATAGTTCAGTCTATACATGTGACTGAAACTCGGACCTAGTTTTGGTTTCGGATTTCATTAAAGGTCCAAGACGATCATTTCTAAAATTAAAATCTAATCGAAAAGTTTTTGAAGCCTTTATACATATAAAAATCGAAATTCTAAAATAAGCTTTATGATAGTCGAAATTTCAAAAAAAAATAACAATAAATAATAATTGACCGTTATAAAATAGTATTTTTGAATAATCATCTTCAATTTTTTACTCGTTTTATAAAACATAACAACTAATAAAGCCTTTTAATTAATACGTATTAATCACAAAACAAATAAAACCAGTTAAAAAATATTAGAATATGGGGTTTTTGCCTTGAAAATCAAGTTATGAGATAGTAAATTATATGTCTCATAACTTGTTTTTCAAGGCAAAAATCTTATATATTTATTTACTAGAATAAAACTTGATGGTTTTTATTTATTTAAAGTTGGTTAATAAATATGCAAAACAAACATAGTATACAAATTGTTTTTATAAAATTTTTTTTTACACTTGGGCAGTCTTTCTGGTTCATGTTTATTAATTAACACTTAGAAATAAATGTTAGCATTTGGTGATACTCTGAATTACTCTGTTGGATAAATTCTATTCAAATTTTTATTACGTATAAGCCGTATCGTTACTTCTGTACATCATATGTTAAAAATAAATTAAAAAGCCTATTAGTAATATTAAATCTAATGACTGTTATTTTAAACTATACTTTTAGGATTATATATACTATAATATTAAGGATTAAAAATAAATTTATTATTTTAATTAAATATTTTTTTTATTAATTTACAAATTTATAAAAAATATTTTTATATTATTTTATATATAAAGTAAATTTTTTTTAAAATTTAAAAAAAATCTTATCAAAATAATTTATAAATAAGTACTTGTAAAAATAAAAAATATAGTAATTTTTTATATAAAATATACTTATATAACAAGTTTATAAAATTTTTTACTGTAATAACAAAAAAAAATAAAATTAATAATTAATATATTTTTAAATAATATAAATATAAAATATATATATATATTTTCTTTGACAATCTTGCTAAGATCTTTCTCATATCCTGGCTTTTGTAAACTAATGTATTTAAAGTTTTTAGTCACTGGACCTCAACCTCTCCTGGTCTATGTTTTTAAATTTTTTATAAGTGATCTGTCATACTGACCTCTGTTGAAATCAGAAGGTTTTACCAGACTTTGTTCAGAACTGGTTGTTGCCATAAGTTTATGTAATATCTCTTATTGTCAAACTTTTAATCTTACATTATGTCTTATAATTTTGGTTATTTCAAATCAGGTTCTAATTCATATTCATTATCAGGTGACTTTTCAATCACAGATCACTTGTATTTTTTAGAAATAAGTTTGTTCAATGATATTTCAGATTTCTAGTATTGCAGTGTTACAGTTTCTTATTTTTAGAAATATATATTTACAATTTCTATCACTAGAATTTGAATCAGCAACCTTGCAATTTGTGACCTCAGAGCATAACTGTTATGCTATTAACTCTAAATATCTAAAATATATATAAAAAGGTTTATTTTTTATATATAAATATAAATAAAAATTTTATAATTACTAATTTTTTTATATATAAGTATTATTAATTTTATTATATAAAATTACTAATTTTTTATATAATAAACTAATTAAATAGATAATTTTCTTTTTACTATAACTTTTTTATTTATATAATAATTATAGTTAAAATTTTGCAAGTTTATACATTAAGGTTACAATAATATACTTATATTGTAATACAAAAAATATGTAATGATGATTGGTTAATTTATAAATATATCAAAAAAATTTTAATTTGTTAATTTTTTTAAAAAAATTAACCAACTTTAAGTTTTTTTTTAAACAATATATAATTAAAAATTAATTTAATTTTTTTTATAAATATATTTTATAAATCTTCAAATATTAAATATATTTATTTAAATTTTTTTTTTTTGGTATTAAGGTGACCTCTTTGGTCTTTTGACTTTTATTAATCACTTGTTAGTATTGTGGTTCAAT